GTACAAATCTAAACCACACAGTTTTTACTTTATTATTCTACGTGTTAGTCAATTTTGGCAAAGTTTTGAGGGACGGAGGGAGTACTTGTTTATTCATTCTTAGAGATATATTATTGGAGAGATTATGAGAGACATAGGGAGATGAGCATCTTGTTTTCTAAGGCTTTGTTTGCAAACAATTAATTTAAGTGCTTTTGGCTTTTTTTAAAGAAAAAAGCACTTATTTTACCAAACAATACCAACTTTTACTTTCTCGGTTTTCGTGTAGAATCTACTTTTTACTTTTTTTATTACACAAAAAGCACTTATTTTACCAAACATTACCAACTTTTATTACTAATCACTTTTTCCCAAAAAGTACTTTTATTTAAGCACAATCACTTGCAAATAGAGTCTAAACTTTAGCATTCACTATTACATTAAGATGATCTCTTTTGGTGTTTATTGATTTATATCCGAATATCGGCTCCCTTTGGACGATTGGGGTAATTGTTCTAACTACCACTTTGATGGGACTATATATCTTCCTTATCATATTAGTTGCAATATTAAAATTTGTACACTATTTTTGTATTCTACTTTAACTATATTTTACTCCTTTTCGATTGAAATAAGTTAGTCATACGATTGTCTCAGTTTACTTTTTCAATCCGTTTCACTAAGATTTTCTCATACCAAATTTGATAAAGTTTGTGTGGCTCTAAATTATTCTTATTTTATCAATTAAATATCAATAGGGGTAGGATCGGATCGGTCTGGGTCGGGTTTTTGCTAAACCCGAAAATTACCCGGAAGGTTTCGGGTTATGAAAATTAGGGACCCAAACAAAGCTCATTATATTCGGTCCGAGTCGGGTTTTATGTAGCCCATTATTTGGGCCGGTTAAAGCCCGAACATGAAAAATCTCATTGTTCTATTAACACCTATTTTCAAATAAAATTAATCAAAAATACAAACCACACATACTAACACAAATATTAGTTTCCAAAATCACCAACAATTCAAATCCAAAGAAGATAATTATCTTAATATTTTATTTAAGATGCAGATAAATAAATAATACAGGTTTCTTAAAAATATTACCAAATAAAATTTATAGATAAAAATGTGACTACAGTTGCTATATATATATATATATATATATATATAGAATAGAGATCAAATACAAACCCTTCTTAATTTACAAAGTACAAACTCATCTTGATCATCCGATGAGTTGATCCAAAGGACATAAAGGCAAGGTGGCATTTTTGTAATAAAACCCAACTTTTTTAGGGTGCAACTCATTGAACGTTAATGTGCAACTGCTATTTTATGGCTGAATAATATGCACTACTTTGAACGTTATGCACTACTTTCCCCTATATATATATATATATATATATATATAGGGGAAAGATCAAATACAAATTGTGCTTATTGTGCAAATATTTGTACGATGCACCTTAACGTTCTTTGTATTGCATATTGAGGTTCAAAGTGTTGCATATTATATAGTCATAAAATAGCAGTTGCACATTAACGTTCAACGAGTTGCACCCTAGAAAAGTTAGGTTTTATTACAAAAATGTCACCTTGCCTTTATATCCTTTAGATCAACTCATCGGATGGTCGAGATAAGTTTGTACTTTGTAAATTAAGCATGGTTTGTATTTGATCTCTAATCTATATATATATAGAGAGAGAGAAGAGGTCACGCACAAAATTGAAGGCTTCCACATTGCGGATGAGAGGGAGGAGGAGGTTACAGGGAATCCTTAATATAGATTGTAAAACTGGAACTTTTGCATATTGGACGCTTGCTGAACCAACTCAGCCATTTAAACATTCATATCAGATCATATATGTAGAAAAGAAAGGAAAAGAAAATTGCTCCTTTCGAACTTCAACTTCAAAAAATGATTTGAATGTCTTCCCGATCGAATTTTGAGCTGAAATTTGGTATGGACAAACTAGACTTGATGAGGAACATGCTCAAAACATTTCATCAAAAAATTCCACCGGAAAGGTGTCCAAACGGGCTCGGCCGGACGGAGCATCCCGTCAGGCTGGCCGGACATTAAGATTTGTCTATATATATATATATACAAATATGTTGAATTTGTTTAGCGTAATGACCATGAATATATATATATATATATATATATATATATATTCATGGTCATTACGCTAAACAAATTCAACATATTTGTAGTCACTAAAAGTTATTAAATCATTTTTTTATCCGCCGTGATTATAATCATATATTAGGAAATATTTATAACTTTATATTCATATATATATATATATATATATATATATATATATATATATATTAATTTTATATTAAAGCTAATTTTTTCGGGTTTTTATCAGTCCGGGCCGGGTTATAGATTTTAAGGCCCGTTAATGAGCCCGGAATTTCGGGTTCGGTCGGGGTGTTTTTTAATTCGGGCCGGTTAAAAAGAAAAAACTCAGACTGGGATCATAATTCGGGTCGGTCCATGGTCGTTTTCCGTGTTTCGATTTGGTTTTTGTCACCCCTAATATCAACCACATAAACCACTTTTTATTAGTTTGCATGTCACTCCCTCTTGTCTCATTGTTAGTGGGACGGAAGGAGTATTTATTAATGTACATGAATTATTTCTTTTGAAAAATATCGTTGAATTGTTCTCATTACAAAGTTTCATATTGTGATTTTTAAATTTTTTACTTATAGAGAATTAAATATAATTATCATCAAAGTTGTGATTAACACATGAAAAGAAAAGGGAAATGTTGCAATTTTTTGTCATATGTACCTCGTTGTCTTGTCAAATACTATCGTATAGTACTAGTACTATCGTATGAAATATACTTGAATGGCCCATGCAAGTTGTGACCTTTCCCATGTGAATTACTGACAAACTTACACAAAAAAGGACGACATCCCGACCGGACGATACGATGGGACGATGTAAATTGGACTAAATTAGATTATAATCACAAATCTAAATTTGTTTTCCTCAATTATCAACTACGGAGTGGTCGTATGTTCTGCTTGTGTTCTACTACTCCCTCCGTAACTTAAAAACCTTCTCATTTCAAAAGTAGGTATATTAAGAATAGTGAAAGAGGATATGAATTATTGAGGGTGTGATGAGAATATAGTGGAATAATGTGATGGAATGTAGGATAAATCCAAAAAAAGTAGTTGTAATAGTGTATTATTTTTAGAATTATTGAGGGTATGATGGGAAGATTTAGAAATGGGAAGATTTTTTTGTTACGGACGACAAAGGAAAGTGGGATGATTTTTAAGTTACTATATATCGATCATAATACGGAGTAGCAAATAAGTAAAGCGGTCGCGTGGGCATGGGAATGGTGATGATGATTAGTACGGCGGCGGCGGCGGTATTCGGTTTGGGTTATGTTGGGAGGAAGCTGGTGATGATATGGAAGAAGGCCGGTTGTCGGAATAATGTGAACCCGACAAACTGGCAGGTGGTCGGAATGCTGCCGGGGATATTACAAAATGCGGGCCGCATCCACGACTACGTGGCGGAGATTCTAAAACACAACGGCGGCACATTTGAGGTGAAAGGGCCTTGGGGCTTTACTAACCTCAACTTGTTCCTCACCTGTGACCCAGCAAACATCAACCACATCCTCTGCCGGAACTTCAAGAACTACCCAAAGGGCCCCCATTTCCAGAGAATCTTCGACGTTCTCGGGGCCGGGATGATCAATACCGACCACGAGGTATGGGATCTTCACAGGAAGACCACGACTCCCCTCATGAACCATCCCGGGTTCCGCGCCCTCTTGGAGAAAACCGTGTCGGATAAGATCCGACACGGGCTCCTCCCGCTTCTCGAGCATCACGTGCAGAAGCGGGACGCCTTCGGGTTGAAGCACGTTTTCCGGCGGGTGGTCTTTGACATCTCCTGCATCCAGTTTCTGGACAAGGACCCTTGCAGCCTTGGCGTCAATGAGGAAGACCACCCATTTCTCACTGCGCTCCGGGAAGGGATCCACGCAGGGACGGATCCAGGATTTCTATTCAAGGGGGGCGAAATTTTTCGGTAGTGCAGGGAGTGAAAAAATTTTCGTTAGTGTAGTGGGGCAAAATTTTTTCCCTAGTGTAGCGGGGCGAATTTTTTCCGCTACTGTAGGGCTATGCGGCTAATTTTATTCAAAAAATGACATTAATACATACACATCTCCGACGACATTTAAATCTATTAAGTAGTACATTCTAAGTTTAAATTAGACGATGACAAAGATATCAACCAATACATTTTTAATAACTTCTACATTGTTTAACCTCATGAATCGGTTATTATTGAATTGTAATTTTTGTCCGGCCACCAAGGAGGGTGTTCGTGAGTCATGACTCATGAGAAGTTTTCTTAATATTACAATAGTAGTATGTATGATATTATTATTTTTAGAATAATATGCACCACATACACACACATATATGGTGCATATTATATTTTAATATTTGTATTAATGCTATAATAATTTAAAGTTTATTATCTATGCAATAAATTATTTTTAGAAAGCAAGAAGTAAATGAATTATGTAATTTAATGTCAATAAATATTTATATTTTGGATTCATTTCACGTGATCTAAAAACTGTGTAATTAGTGTGTCTGATATTTAATATTGTTTGATATATATTTTACAAAATCAAGTACTTGTTATCTAATAAAGATAATTAAACACTACAAAACTAGGAATTCTTATATAATAAGTATCCTAAATCTTAAACAACGAGTTATTCTATTGTTTATTTGTTTAAGTTATGTAATTATTTTAGATGTTCCTTCTTTTAAATCTTCAATTAAGTATTACATTATGTAACACTATATATTAATTTTGAAAATTAAAAGATAAGGGGGGCGAATCTAATTAAATTATGAAAGTTTTATGAAAATATTACATATATGGTAGAAAATTTTGAAAGTCCAAGGGGGGCGGTCGCCCCCCGCCCCCCCCCCTAAATCCATCCCTGGATCCACGCTATTCTGTATAGGCATATTCTCCCGGAGTGGTGTTGGAAGCTGCAGAAATGGGTGGTTGGGGTCGATAGAGAGGAGAAGTTGAGTCGTGCTTGGCAGACTTTTGACCACTTCATAAACCCAATCCTTTCCCACAGAATAAACAATGACCGATCCAGTACTGATTTCAGCATCTTGCTTTCGCACATCAATGCACATCAAGGAATGAGTCCCAAATTTCTTAGAGACACCTTCCTCAGTTTGGTTATTGCTGGCTCAGATACTACAGGTATCTATACATAGAGAAAATTATCAGGGATATTACTACTCCCTCCGTAACTTTAGAATCTTTCCATTTCAAAAGTAGGTAGATTAAGAATAGTGAAAGATGATATGAATTATTGAGGGTGTGATGGGAAAATAGTGGAATAATGTGGTGGAATGTAGGATAAATCCAAAAAAGTAGTTGTAATAGTGTATTATTTTAAGAATTATTGAGGGTATGATGGGAAGATTTAAAAATGGGAAGATTTTTGTGTTATGGACGAAAAAGGAAAGTGGGAAGATTTTTAAGTTACGGAGGGAGTAAAACACAACATGTTTCCCAAACTAATAATGAACTATGAGTCATTCCATTTTTTCCCTTGGGATATTATCCGTATGTGGTGCATTTATGTGAGATTCATTAGGGGAAGAGGTTATTTAACCATATAGCCATGTATGTGAGGTCATATGATGGGAACTAAAACAGTTTGAGTCATATTTTAGAAAAAGTCACATGTTTTAGTAATATTGAGGTTTTTTTATATACTATATACTCCCTCGCCTCAGCCCAATTTAAAGTTCTCATTTTAACTTGGATGATACATATTAAGGAAATGACATGAATTACATTGTTTAGGCACTGTTTATATGAAATGGGCCTTTACTAAAGAATATACGAAGTATACACAAGAATGATAAGTAAAGCACACGTGATAGAACAACTTTATGTCTCTTTCATTTTTGATTAGCAATTTAATGAGTTCAGTAGTCCAATTTTTATGCTCATCAGTGTTACATATTGATTTTAATCATTAGATTTAAATTTATAAAAAAAACAGACACCCGATACTCACTTTTTCACATTGAATACTAATCCAACAATTAAGATTAACTCGTTACTAAGAATATATTTTTCTTGAGTAAATTTTAATTTTTAACACGATCTAAATGTTGAAATTCATACGGAATACTACGTACTTGATATGAATAAGCATATAAATTCGAGTTCTATCCCAATCAAGGATATTGACATTAACATGAGCATATACTATAATAGGTTTAGAAGAATTAGCACAAAAAGTGTTTATTGTGGCATCTATTTTGTAGCATCATAGAAATTGCTACAATATATTATCCATTGTAACATTATTGTACCAAAAAATGATACAACAAGATGGAAAAAAATGTTAGAATACATCTATTGTAACACGATCGAGTCGGATGCAGCATGCTAAAAATGCTGCATTTGATATATAGCGACATTTTTGACACCTATTGCAACATTTTGCGTATGCTACAAAAGTTATATTTTGTTGTAGTGAAATGTAACAAAAAAAATATTGGGATGATTGAATTGATCTTTAACCAAAAATGAGAGAGGCCTAAAATGATCATTTTAGGCCTCCCTTACTTGAAATATTTTGATCATGTTCCTCATCAAGTGTAGCTTACTCATACAAAACTTCATCTCAAAGTTCAATCGGGAAGGCAGTCAAATAAATTCTTGAGATATACTGCGCTTTGTATATGTACAAAACGCAGTATGTTTGCCAAATTTATTTAACTGTCTTCCTGATCGAATTTTGAGCTGAAATTTAGTATGAATAAACTAGACTTGATGGGGAACATGCTCAAAAAATTGCATCAAAAAAATCCACCGGGAAGATACTCAAACGGGCAAGTCCACACGGCCCTCCCTGTCAGGCGTGCCTGACTCGAACGGTCCTATTTGTTTTTTATCTTTTTGTTATTTTCTTGTTCATGTTTTTTTTACTCCAGGGGGTCTGGGAGAGGGGGCTGGGGGGCCCTGGAGTAATCAAAGCTCAAACTCACTCCATTGAGTTTCGAACCCTTATGCATGTGTCTAGCGGGTTTTGAACTCGAGACCTCCCAAAAGGCACGCTAGTATATATATATATATATATATATATATATATATATATATATATATATATATATATATATATAGGTTCATGTGAGAACTTAATCTTAGGATAGTAAACAAGAATAGATGTACTATGTGAGCCATTGGATTAACTTCTACTTTGATCGTGACATTAACTGTCATTAAGGGTAAATGAGATATTTTCATGTCTCCATTATTGCATTTAATACATCCTAATCCATTTAAGTGTGTACGTATATTCTTCTTTCCTTTTTAGTTTGTTACTCCCTTTCATACGTATTAGGTTACTTTTACTTTCCTATATTGCTATTCTTCTAATTAATTCATATATTCACATATCAAAATTTTAATTTGTTACGATCACATTTTCAATGTATTTTATGCACTTATTTTAGCTATTTATCTCTATATTCAACGTATTGTATGCTTGCAACCAATTTAGTTATGCACTTTTAATATGTTTATTTTGCATATGCATAGTTGGCATCATGAATATTATTCCTTTACCATTCTAATTATGTCTTATCAATATATATAGTCATTCCCATTATAAAAAATGGGATTAAATATGGAGCGCCGGATTTAGGATCTAACTGCTCTAAATATGTCAAAAATGCATTAAAGTGGATGAAAGTTGCAGTGACATTGTCGTAAATAAATCAAAGTTTTTATAGTTTACAAAAAGTGAACTTGCAATGTGCAAAAGTGTACCGTAGAGGATCAAAAGTGATTGATGAAATTTTGTCAATGTAATAGTGCAACTCAGACACTCAGCCAGGCCCGGCCCGGAAAAATTGAAGGCCCTATTCAAAATAAAATTAGAGGCCCTAATATTTAATTTAAAACAATAATGCCAATAATTCAATAAAAATTGAATTTTTATAAAATGCAATTCTACTTGATGAAGTAAACACCAAGAGTATCAAAACTTCATTAAAAATTTTGAACTTAAACTACACTTATTTAAACAATGCTTTCTTTCTATAAAATTTGAAATAAAATCTTCAATAATGCATTGATATGCAACTTTCTTACTAAGATCACTCTCAATTGCTACTAAAGCAAATCCATTGAGTGTTCCCAACGTTCTCCATATATTGGGAAACAATTCGAAAAGGAAACTTGTGATACGGATCAATAAAGAGGTTAAAAGAACGTATATGGAAAGTATTTCAAACATGAACAACGGTCTTGAAAAGCAACGAAGTCAATAACGAAGCTTAACATTTGTACTTAAAAAATTTGTACTTATATACGGAGTATATTAGTATTTGTAATTATAATACTCCGTAGTAAATATAATATTTGTTATCATTTTTATTTTGATTGGTAATTAGAGAGCAAGAACTAGCAAAATTAGTTTAACTCAAAAAAATTATTAAAAAAGGTATAAGTACTCTTAAAGAGACGAGAAAACCAAAAGCCTTACTTGGTTCAATGGTAGAAGCTTCTCCATTTTACATCGAGAACCAAGGATTGACTCCTGGATTCCGCTTTTTCCCAACTTGTAATCGGATTTTTACTCTTTTCTAAGCCCAATCCGGATTGGCCCAAGCAAGACGCACTTCACAAACGTACACCGAGTTGGGCCGCTGACTAAAGTTATTTGACAAAAAAAATTGTTGGGCTTAGGTATAGAACTATGTTATTAAAAATTGGAGGTCCGGTGCAGATGCTCCAATTGCACCTGGGCCGGGCCGGGCCTGCACTCAGCATTTTGTATTTCAAATGTTTGAAAAGTGCATAATGTTTTCAGTATAAGTGCAAACACAGATTCAAATACTATAAGTGCAATTAAAATATTTTAAAGTGTGTGATAATTGAATAAAAGTGCATTTGATAAATTGCTTGAGTGCATATAACTTGGTGAAAGCATATCTCTTCAAATATGATTAATAATTATTTAAATTTACATCAAAAACTAAAAATATGCAAAATCAGATCAGCAAGAGTGCAAACACAAAAATATTAAAATAATACGAAGTACAAGATACACACACAAGTGAGGATTTGTGAATTCAAAGGGGCATGTTTTTAAGATCTCATACATAAAAGTTAAAGATTATCAAGTGCATGATAATTGAAGTAGAAGTGCATTTGTTAAATTACTTAAGTGCAACGATTCAGCTTTAAATTGCAATTGACAAATCTTGCATTTGAAAAGAAAAGTCACACATGAGAGGACCTTAAATTTGGAAAGAAAATAAAATAAAATAAACTATTTATTAAAACAAATGGTGCTAATTATGAGGGAGATTACTCCGTATTAATTACTCTCCTAATTGTTAGGATTACTTCCTATTATAGTGGCTTGTGCGTGGTAACCACTTACATGTGGTTCACCTTTATGCCCCTGAATTAATACATTGTTGCACGTTGCCTTTTTAGGAGCCAAATCCCTTCCGGAAATTATGGATAGACGTCTCCAATTTAGAATTTTTTTTTACCATCAGATTGAAATAATTAAAGGTAGGATTTTGTTCTTTTTTACTCTCCTAAGAGGGTGTTCTCATAGGAACTAACCCCTGTATGTATGTATGTATGTATGTATGTATGTATGTATGTATGTATGTATGTATGTATGTATGTATGTATGTATGTATGTATGTATGTATGTATGTATGTATGTATGTATGTATGTATGTATGTATGTATGTATGTATGTATGTATGTATGTATGTATGTATGTATGTATGTATGTATGTATGTATGTATGTATGTATGTATGTATGTATGTATGTATGTATGTATGTATGTATGTATGTATGTATGTATGTATGTATGTATGTATGTATGTATGTATGTATGTATGTATGTATGTATGTATGTATGTATGTATGTATGTATGTATGTATGTATAGAGAGAGAGAGAGAGAGAGAGAAAGAGGAAAGTTCATGTCAGGACCTCCAAAAACGGACCTCCGTACGGACCTCGGCGTTTGGGCCCCTTCCCGGTGGAATTGTTTGATGAAATGTTTTGAGCATGTTCTTCATCAAGTCTAGTTTACCCATACCAATTTTCAGCTAAAAATGTCATCGGGAAGGCAGTCAAATAATTTTTGGAAGTTAACTGCATTTTATATGTATATAAAGTGCACAGTTAACTTCAAAAAATCATTTGACTGTCTTCCCGATGGAATTATATTGTTAGCTGAAATTTGGTATGGGTAAACTAAACTTGATGGCTAAGTTAGTTCAATGGCTAATTTGCTACTTCTTCCTTTTAGAAAATATGTGTGTGAGACTATTTAATCAAATAATTAACTTTTGATTTGGTGGCGGGCGGGGCAGGATCAACACTGACTTGGTTATTTTGGCTACTTTCCAAAAACCCATCGGTTGAAGCAAAGATTTTGGATGAGATCTATCGCCATCAAAAGCCAAACGACCAGCAGCAAGTTGGGAAACCATCAGCTGGCGGCGACGATAGTTATAAGGAGCAAGAGGAGATTACTATATTCAAGGCAGAAGAACGTCAAAAATTAACCTACCTCCATGCGGCTGTGTGTGAATCCCTCAGATTGTTTCCAACCGTACCTATGAATCATAAGATGCCTATAGAAAGAGACGTTCTTCCCAGCGGGCACATCGTCACACCCAACACCAAAATCATAATGCCTTACTATTCCACGGGGAGGATGGTTTCCGTGTGGGGAGAAGACTGCATGGAGTTCAAGCCCGAGAGGTGGATTTCACCCGCTGGCCATGACAGAATCCTCCACCAACCTTCCTACAAGTTCCAGGCCTTTGGCGCCGGCCCCAGGGCTTGCATTGGCAGGGAGATGTCATTAACCGTCATCAAAATGATTGCAGCTACCATACTATGCCACTACCGCTATGAGCTAGCAGAACCATGCCCTCCTCACCATCCACCTCAGGTCTCCGAATCCATCCTTCTTGAAATCAAGGACGACCTCAAGGTTGTCTTCACCCATCGCTAGCATATACTCTCCCTCTTAAATAAGGGCAACACTTAAAATGCTCCACTATTCACATGTTCTCCTTTGACTACGCTTGACTATGTTTTGTTTATTAATGTATTAATAAATTATTTTAAAACAAAATTGTTAAATTTGTGTCATTATAAATTTTCAAAATACAAATTTTTATTTTTTTATTGCGAATAAAGATATATATATATATATATATATATATATATATATATATATATATATATATATATATATATATATATATATATATATATATATATATATGGGAGAGATCCCATGCAAACCAAGCTTCCGGTGCAAACTACAAACCAACCTCAACTATTAGATTGAACAATACGGATGGTCATTCGTATGACATCCATGGTAGTAATAATGGGTTGAAACGTAGAAAATTAAAACCCCCTAAGACCCACTACCGTTTACGATTTAATTGCAAGGTTATTAAGGTCATCCCAAATCCTCCTTCCCTAGAATGTCCTTCGACTTTCTAGTAATCAAATGACCATCCAAATATAAGCATTTCATAAAAGGTAAGTGGCAGACAAGTTCAATCCCTGGATTGATGCTAGCCACAAATTGAAAAATAACTTACCTTTTCTTAAATAATAATTAATGGTATCATTTACAAAATTAATCTCCTAATTCATAGAACCAATCGTTCCTCAATAAACTTTTATTATTGAAACCTGGACCCCACTTTCGTGAGAATGCATATTAAGGTTATGAGATCTGCATGGTAAAATTATAATGTTTGCATATGATATTATTTGTAAAATAAATTCCTTTATTTACGAAATTAATCACTTCATAATTATAACATCTGCATATTAGTTTTGCATATGCTGCACTTTTAGTCACATGATATTATCATTATCTATATAATGGTTGTCATATTGAGTCCATTAATATATTACGTTGCACTTTGGAAGTCCGTACATTGCATTTTATCATTATGACAAGTGCATTCATTCTTTAATCATTTTCAAAGTTCATATGTTGCATTGTACCGTCATCACATTTGCATTTTCAGAAGATTAATATATGTGAACAGTGCATATTAAGGCTACATAATATGCACTATATAACTGGATATTAAGATTATGAGATGTGCATCATATATTCGTAATGTGTGCATAAGTTACTTTAGAAACTCATATTGATAAAATATGTCGATGTTTCATTTTAGAAGTTCATACATTGCATTTTAGTAAGATGACAGGTACATTTTAGATGTTCATGTGAATTGTATCTTGTCATTAAGGCATTTGCATCATATACTCAATTAACATGCACACGAGAAATAAGCTTGCATGTGAACTGCATATTAAGGTTGTGAGATGTGCATTGTATAATCATAACGTCTGCATATGATAATATTTGTGAAATAAATTTCTTTATTTATGAAATCAACCACTTCATAATTATATATAACATTTGGATATTAGTTATGCATATGGTGCACCTTTACTCACATGATATGATCATTATCTATATAAAGATTGTGATATTGACCCAATTAATTTATTATATTGCACTTTGGAAGTTCATACGTGGTATTTTATCATTATGATATGTGCACTTATTCGATAATCATTTTCGAAGTTCACATGTTGCATTGTATCATCATCACATGTGCATTATTAGGAGTTCATATATTATATTTCAGTAAGAGGACATGTGCATCTTTGGAGACCATATGGTGCATCTTATCATTATGATATCTGCATTGTAAACTCAATTAGCATCCATACCAACATCATGAGGTTTAGATGACAATATGCATAATATATGAGAAAAATATATTCTAAATGATAACAGTACTACTATATTTTACGTACTGAAGCTATAAGAGTTTCACATAAACACAAAAATGTGTGAATTTATATGCAAATGAGAATCGATTCTTAAACATCATTATTCCATGGTAATAGAGATGACTACCTCATTATTCCGTTATACTCATATGACAAATCAGTTATTTCAGAAGGAGATAGTCATATGATGAGTTTAAAAAGAGAGTTCAATGAAATCAAAAGAACTTTGCATAAACATGAAATTGTTGAATTGATATGAAAACCAAAACCAAAACAAACATAAATTAAAAAAAAAAAACGTATCAATTCAACCACATACTGAAATCCATGGCAATCGAGAACTAATCTTCTCCCTGTGTGTGCCGGAATCTATGGCGTTCACATAGAAAAACACTAATCATATTCTATTAAATTTCAGATGAAGAATGGAATGATGATGGAGATGGAGATTGAGATCGAGAGAAACTTTGGTATCCTTGAGTAATTACGTATTGATTGATGAATCTGGTAGGAGAAAAGGAGTGAACCGATTACGTACAATCGGTTATGGAAACAAAGATAATGTGAGTTCCTTCCCAAAAATAAATTAAAAGAAACCCAAAAGACTAAATAACCCTTGACTCTCTAATCTAATCTTGATGAAGCGTACGGTTTTTTAATTAAAATGGATGGCCAGGATTAAGTTTGTAGGTTAGTATATTAAGATGGGTTTGCACTTGATCTCTCATCTATATATATATATATATATATATATATATATATATATATATATATATTAATGGTCAAATTAAAATTGTGCATAAACAAACTTGAAAAGTGAGCTGTTTCACGTATTTAAGATAGTCCGAAGAATATATTCACAAGGCCTGAATAAGACTACACACATAGTCCGAAGCACTTCAAAGCATGGTAACATTGTTACTTATCTAGGCCATCTCTAACAATCACCAATTCCTACACCAAAAATGGTGGATTTGCCAATTTTTTGCTCCAGAAGCTACACCAAATGTTTCACCATTTCACCAAAATAGGGGAGGGGGTTTAGCTTTACGCCATATATGGCACATCACCATCCTTGCGCCATCTTCTTCTTTTTATTTTTTATTTATTTCAAATGTGACCCAAAGTTTTGATTGTTATAGTTTTGACCCATTTTAGAACAACAAATTATAGAACAACAAATTTAAATTATTAATTTGATATAAGTAAAAAATATAGTTTAAATCACACAATATTATAAATAATTTTTATAATCGAAACAACATTATAACAGAATACAAATGATACTTAAGAAAAGAACATAATTAAAATTACAATTAATAACACCATTAAAATTAAAAAAAACATTTGTGGGAACAAATCTCAAAATCCGATAACTAAACTAAGATAATATTTTTTTACAATTAATAACATCATTAAGTTTAAGTAGTATTTTATTAATGACGTACAAATTATTATAATATTATTGTAATATTTAATTTTATGTAGTTTTAGCTTGTATTTGTGAAATATTGATTATAGCAGTATTTTAGTTTGTATTTGAGAAATAATGAGTGAAATGCCAAAATACATATTAATTGAGGGGCTAATGTATAAATATATGATAATTAGATAATTAAGTACAATAATGGTAAAAAGAATAAAAAAGAATATTCCTTTATAGTGATGAAAATGGTGTAAAATGTTGGAGATAAAATAATGTATGATATGATGTTTACACCATTTTAATGCAAAAATAGTGTAAAATGTTGGAGATGGCCTCAAAGAAGTTTAATTTAATGTTAATTTTTGTTGCTTACTTCAAACCAAGGTTATAGATACTCGGACATTGGATCTCTTTGCAAGCACCAAACTGGAGAGTCTCGGTAAAAGAAATGCAACCCGGACTGGTCCTTCTATATATACCCACTCCGGTCTCGGTGTTGGCCCAAAACATAAATCCGGTCCTGTTCACACAAAAAGAAAACAGCGGTCCTAGTGCTGCCCGGTGTGACTCCATTCACTAGTAGTAGGGGTGGACTCGGGCCGGTTCAGGCCTGGGCCCGGCCGGACCTCGGTTCATGAAAGGGGAGGCCCAGAACCGGCCCGGGTAACCCCCGGGTCCGGTTCGGGCCTGGTCAGGCCTCGGTTCAACTTAATTTTTTTTGGCTTTTCCTAATTAACCCCCAACCCTCCCCCCTCACCCCCAAACCACCTCAAATGGCCCAAAATACCCAGTCCAACCCAAAAACTTAAAAAAAATTCAAAAAAAAAGAAAAAATAAATAAATAGGCCCGGACCAGGCCTGAACCGGCCGGGCCGGTTCACCTTTTCAAGGGCCCGAGTCCGTCCCGAAACCCCAGCGGGTCAGGCCTACCCGGACCGGTCCCTGGCCGGGCCGGCGGTTCGGGCCGGTTCAAACAGTGACCGGGCCGGACCGCCCGGCCCGAGTCCACCCCTAACTAGTAGGCGACAAAAGAGATTCCCCAATTAAGAGCCACTGCTAGTCGCCAGAATGCGTCGAAAAATTTTCAGATCCGATATGCCGCCGCCGCCAAATCTGCCGCTGCTAGCTGGTCGTGAAAATCTGCTGCCTCCAACAAAAAAACTCCCATAATATATTTGCCACTATTATGACGCTGCCGCCGCCACCACCACCACCGGACTGCCCTGCCACCATCGAATTGCCCCGATTATCCAAGAGAACTAGGGGTGTAATTAATATATTAGGTTAGGGGTATTGGAGATAACAAAAATTAATCTTTAGTCCCTATTTAGGAAAGATTAGAGATTGACTCCTATTTTGGGAAAATTAGTACTCCCACCATTCTTTTTATTTAGCCAAACACTATTTTTCAAGTCAATCATGTTAAACTTTGACCGGTTATATATTTATACACGATAATATAGATGATATGAAAATGATATGGAAATGTTTTTTGCTAAAAATGCTATCATAAAAGTATAAATTTATTAAATTTGACATAAATATATTAGTTAAAATAATGAATCAAAGTTTATCATCTTTGACTGGAAAGTCAAAGTTGGATAAATAAAAATGGACAGAGGTAGTATATTTTAATCCTATTTAGGCAATTACTTCGAGGTAAGGGTCAGATTGGTTCTCGAAGTTGCATAAAAAGGGTCAAAAAGGTCCTTACTATCCGGCCGTCACCATTTGAGGCGGTTCCCAGTGGAATTTTTTGATGAATTGTTTTGATCATCTTATTCATCAAGTATAGTTTACTCATACCAAATTTCAGCTAAA